GGGGGAAGGAACACGAGGAAGGAGGAAGGAAGTAAGGAAAGGGAGGGAGGCAGGAAGGCAGGCAGGAAGGAAGGAGGGAATTAAGGAAGGGAAGGAATGAAGGGAAGGAATGAAGGGAAGGAAGGGAAGGGAAGGAAGGCAGGCGGGCAAGCAGTGTGACACTCTTGTAGCAAACTTGTGGGACACTCTCGTAGGACACTCTTGCATGTGGGACACTCTTATAGGACACTCTTGTGGGACACTCTTGTGGGATACTCTTGTAGGACACTCTTGTGGGACACTCTTTGGATCTCCAATCGATGTGGCATGCATCCGCTGGCAGCTTACTTGCGCATAACTGTTTCGCACACAAGTCGAAGCGAATGAAAGGTGGTCCAACTCACCAGGAGAACTCATCGACTCTGGAACACGCATGGCCCTGGTCCCAAATTCAAAAAATGGGTCCAAGACACCACCTGAATCTTGCCGCTCTTGGAGACTGTTTTGTTCACGAGAGTGACGCCAGTCCTGGCAAAGGCAGATGCCAGTGTGTTGAACATACGCACTCCGCCCACTTCCAGAAGCTGAGCCAACCTTCTATAGCTTCCAGGTGGTGAGCTATTCTCAGGAAACAACTGCATGTCGATATGCAGTGTCGCCAGACTGCGGTCTTCTACAGAGGGGCATCGTGCAGAAAAAAACTCGAGCTCAAGGTGACAATTTGGAGGCAACCTTGCGAGAAAACACGATCAATGTGAAGCCCTTCGGAGTGCCAGTCCTCACCAATGCTGCTTTCAGGATCTTGAGTGATAATGGTCGGTAGAGAGTCTGCAAATTTGGAAGTGTGCCCCACAGCCTCACTCACAATAGCTTTGCCATGTTTGGATCTTGAGTCCAACTTTGGTTTTCACAGTGGAAAATCTTGAATCGAATTAATATATTTTTTATACACCCTCCTCCACACGAAGAGCCTTCTTTAAGGAAGACGCGGTTACAATAAGGCGTGCAACTAAATAGCCAAAGGTACACAGTCATCTTGAGTGTGTCAGATCCATAGGCCGCCATTGGAAATGAGATCCGCCTGCCCGCAAGCGTGAAGGTCTATGGCCTATGGGAGGTCCCCCCAAAGGCAACAGGAAGTACCCAGCCATGCCTGGCTTTACACCATTGAAAAACCCTTCGCACTGGAGGCCAACAATAAAGAACCTCAATTGAAACATCTGCACTGCCATTTGGTTTTGCCATCTAAATGCCAAAATTAGACAAGGGACACTTGAAGCGGGCTGCTCCATTACCCAGTAAATACCCCTCTTCGTGGCATAGATGATGATGTAGAGAAGGCGGATGACCAGGATGTTTTGCAACAGCACTTTAGCCCGACCATTGCCCTC